AAGTGAGAGAGCGGTGACAGCCAGAGAAAGAAGGTGGGGGAGAGAGAGAGAGAGAGAGAGGAGGCGTGAGTTTGCATGAAGAGGACAGGGAAGGACGAGAGACTCTGAGAGAGACAGAGGAGAGAGAGGGAGGGAGAGGTGACATTTAAAAATAGAGAGGACGGAGAAGGAGATGTTTGTGTAGCAGCAGCTGGTTCCCTTCATCCAGCGAATACTAAAGTCTGTATCATTGGCACAGCGGTCATTTCCCATGATCCTCTCCTCCTCCAACAACAACCTTTCCCTCCCCTGATGTCAGCAGCTTCCAGGTCGTGTTTTAAGTCATTTTAAACAGGAAGCCCAAGGTGTGACAAAGACGTGTGACACTGACAACTCACACACAAACACACGTATTATTATAAATCTCCCATCAGACAGCGATGACAGTTTTGCAGATGCAGCGAGTTACGTCATCACACGTGATCATGAGGTGACGAAAATAAATGGGACAAACCGCAGCATCGACGACGTAATATCAACCTGAGAAAGACCTGAACTGAGAGACACCAGACAGACAGAAATGCACAGTTTATACTTTATAGAGTTGTGAATTATTGTTTTATTTGGCTTTATAATTACATTTATTAACTTTGAGGATACAATAGATTTCTGACATTGAGTTACTGTATATTATGTTTGCACCTTAACAATAACCTTTATTCTTATGTTTATATTTGCACGCTTTCCTACTGCAACTGCTGCAACTATAGTACTACATTATCGTTCCAATTTTCTTTTAAAACAATGATTTTTTTTTATTAAACATAAACTATTACAGGCTGCATACAAGCTAGAAAGAAAAAAAGGAAACCTGTGCAGAAAACTAGGTAGTTTTTATTAGTAAAATAACGATGCATAAGATTACAAGCAAAGGGATCAAACAGAAGTTGCAGAGAATCGACAGGTTAACAGGGACAGGGCAGGTGAAAAGGTGGAGCCAGGTAGGCAGAGATCAAGTTCAAGTTCAGGCTGGAAAGCAAAGGCACAAAGCAACAGTGACAATGTGGCAGCTCTCTGGGGGCTGGTGAGAGACACAGGTGAAAGTCAGAGGGCATCTTGTGGACAGGTGGAGAATGGCAATGATTGCAAAGCTTCATAGAAATGCATGCAGGGGGCCCCTGGGGGACGTGGGAATGCGGCTGAAGGACTGAGGCAGCCATTGTGACAGAAAGGCGTCCCATTCCAGACTCCCTTGACAAAAACAGTAATTTTACCCTGCAGATCACGAGGGCGCCTCAATTGTGTGACTAGAAGATGTGAATTAATGTGTTAAACCACCAAAGTCACACAATGACAAAACTAACAGATCAAGGCAGCGGTAGAAAAGCAACTCCCGTGCTCTGCGATCTAAAACTACCGTTTCTTTGTCTGGTGTCTTTGAAGAGAGCGCAATAAAGGCTACAGTTCCCTTTTAGAAAGGGCTGTCTGATGGAAAGGTAATAAAGCGGTGAAAATATGCTAAATATAGCCCACAGTTATAGTGATTTTTTAGCTAAAATATGTTTTGCCTTCGCCGCCAGTACTCCTGTTTGCTTTTTCAAACTAGGGATGTGTCGGCCTCCATCCCACAAGAGGGCGGAAGCCATCGATTATTTTAGTAATCTACTAATATTCTACAGATCATTCCATCGATTTATTGAGTAATTGGATAAGAAAAACTTTTGCTTGGCGCCCCCGGTATGGAGATCAGCTTAGTAACTCAGATCACCGTGTGACGGCCCTGCCTAGCGGGATGACGGGCAGTTTACTGTTTTCCCTTTTGTCCCTTAAGGTATCAGTGCCCGTAGGCCCGACTGGGAGCACCTGGGCCAGATGCTCTGGGAGGATAAATGATAAATCAGCCACCCGCATACAGAGCAAGTACTGGTGAGTAAGTGAGGTTTATTGCTGCACACGGTGAAACTTGCAGGTGAAAGTAAATCCAGAGTCATCCGCAAAAACGAGGCGCGAGTAACTGGAGAACTCTGGCATGGAAAACAATGAACTGGCAAGGAGTGAAAGAAAGACTTAAATACACAGGTGAGGGAACCACTAATTAGACACGGGTGAACCCGCTAAAGCAATCAGAGGCAAGCACAGGAAGTAAAACAAGACAACACACACTAGGACTAAACTACAAACTAAAACAGGAAGCAAAGCTACAGACAATACACCAGCAATAATGAAACTAAATACCACAGAGAGCAAGGAAACCAAGATCAGTCATCAAAACCTAAACAAGAACACAGAGGCAATAGATAAAACAGAAAGGACAGTAA